GACCAGTCCTACGGAGACGCTCCCAGACCGTCTATAAACATTTCTGGTTGGGGTCTGAACTGTCCACTGGCTGTGATCGTCGTCCTGATTGCGACGTTAAAGAATTCCTGAGGACTCTCGGGGGCTGTCCTTAAATTGCCTCTTGATCAGGCAGATCAGTCAGACGTAAGGCTCGTTGCACGCCAGGGTAAACAAAGGGCAGGCTGGTCATAAGCATACTCCTTGGGCACAGGGGTGGGTCGTGGTTGCACACCTTAGACACTGTCGCTTGATGATGCTCACAGGTACGTTGGATACAGGGGAAGGGGATTCCAATTGTGAACTCTATTGTGCATCACTATCATATCCATTGTGCATACATCTGCTCACATTAGTCTAATTTTTATTTTGATTAGTTGGTTGACAGACTGCTGACACCTAACAGACAGACTAGAGTAGGACTGTAATCTACCATAGCCAGTTCTTCTCGAAGCTTTTGTGCAGAACTAATCAGGATAGATTTAGACTATGTGTACAGTTTGTGTAGGTGCTGTTGATGCCGCTTGACTGGTAGTTTGGGTAACTCGCCGAGCATTATTTTCATTTTATTTATTTTTAGAACCGGTCAGACGTATGCTGCGATAGGTCCCAGAAAGGACTCTAGTGCAGACAGCGTCTGCCTAGCCGATGAGTGGATCAGCCGGGGATGAAGGTACAGCTGACGATAGGAGGTTAACAAGGCTATCATTGCTTAGAATCCCTAGAGCGTTCCAGGCCCTACAACCGGGAGAAAAGAGAAGACTAAGGGCCGAAGCTAGGGCCCGTAGTCTTGAGGTTGCAAGGGAAGCAGCAGCGGCCGAAGCAAGGGCGTTGGCAGCAGCTAGCATGGTAGCAATGGCTACTGCTTCAGCAACGTCTGCAGTAACCTCTGGTCAGGGCATGTCGTCCAACTCGACCAGCTCGCAGTCAGTCTCCAATACGTCAGGTCTCGGCGCTAGTCAGATGGCGGGTGTGCAGTCCAGCATGCCGCCTCATCTTATAAGGGAGCAAATGGAGCTCCAACAGGTAGAGGCACATCTTCGTCATAGTGGATAGGTTCACAAAGTATGCTAGACTAATTGCCATGCCGGAGACTGCTAGGACTGAGCATGTCATTAAGTTGTTCATGGACAACTGGGTGCGTGGCTTTGGACTGCCAAAGACAATCGTTAGTGATAGAGATGTGCGTTTCACAAGTGAGATGCGAAAGAAGGCCGCTGAACAGATGGGCAGCCAGCTTCAGATGACTTATGGGAATCATCCCGAAGCAAATGGGCAGGCTGAACAAATGAACCGTGTGGTGCAGCATCTGCTGAGGCATTACATCTAGCCCAGCCAGGATGATTGGGATGAGAAATTACCTCTCATCGCCAGCCTGTACAACAATGCTGTACACAACACCACCGGCGTCAGTCCTAATCAGCTGCATCTAGGATGGAAACCTCGATCTGCTCTAGACTTCCTCCTGCACGAAAACCGAACTGCTGCAACTCCTGGAACCATTGAATTTGGTGTCCAGTATGAGAAATTGTTGCAGCAGACTGTCAAACACATCAAGAAATCTCAGGAAGCTATGACTGCTTCTGAGAACAAACGTCCCCGACAGTCCACATTTCAGGTAGGCGAACGTGTCTGGGTCAAGGCTAGTGAGTTGGGACAGGAGTTTGGCATTTCTAGGAAACTAATGCCTCAGTATTTCGGTCCCTGGGAAGGCTTAGACATTGTGGGGAATGATTTGGATGGTCCCTCGTACGTCATTCGTATCCTTGGTCACCTACGAACTTACCCTGTTTTTCACGCCTCCAAGCTTGCACCTTTCGCTGAGACATCACAGTTCCCGTCACGGAGATCTATGCTGCCCCCAACCATGGATGGCCACGTGGACATCGACGACATCCTAGATCACAGAGATACGCCTGTTCCCAAGCCACCTGGCAGGGAAAGACCTCCTAAACCTGCAAGGGAATACAGAGTACATTTCAGGCATCATACTGATCCTAAGGAAGATCGATGGATTTCAAGGGAGGAACTTGTCAAGACAGCTCCTCAGATCAAGGCACCAGCATGAAGCATCTCAGCGGACTTTCGAAGCTAAGGGGGATGGAATGTGAGGAACGAGCCCTCAAGGGGCCTTATCAGACATCACATGTTCTGGGCTAAGGCCCCCAGCAAGCCGAGTGCCTTCCCTAAGTGAAGGCGGGCCTGAATATTCGTCAAAGGTCAAAACTGAAAATTCAACATTTCCATATGTGGGTATTCAGGCTCTCGCAGCATGCCAGTTGGTTGGGTAGATGCGTGAGCCTCACTAAGCTGCGCCGCACAGTTGGCCCAGGCCTTGACAGTTGTGTCTGGGCAAATACACACAAAGCAGGGCCCATACATTGGGAAGCAGGCCATCGGCCTTTGGAAAAGCAGTACTGCTGACATACCTACCTGGGAGCCCTGCACAGATGCAGCAAACAGCCCAAGTCCGGAGACTCAGGTCGTACCCAACTGAAAAGGGCCCAGGCCCTCAACTGTAGTCTCGGGCCTGGGCGCAGGGTCTGAGGCCCAACCGGAAGCTTCCAGCCAGGCCACACGCAGCATCCAGGAGGCTGCCACTTCCATAAAAGAAGTGAGGCAGACCAGGCCAGGCATTCTGGCCAGTGCTGGCAATGCGGAAGTGCTGCTGCGCTCTCGCTTGATGCGGCGCTGCTGCCAAAGGCGCTGACGAGGCGCGTAGTGGTGAGGAGGGGCGCTGCAGGGCAGCGGGGCGCAGGCAGCCATAGCCGGGCTGCTGGGCGCCAGGGGGTGCAGCGGACGATCTGGTGGTCTTCAGGGAAGGAGGCGAGTGTGGGGTAATCAAGGTCTGATTGAGGGTGACGAGATACGTACCTGGTGCATGAAGAGAGGTCGGCTGTGGAGTTGACAGTCATGTACATTGGTCTTCGAGAGTCGAAGTGCGCCTGTTGCGTGAACCAGCTGTAGGTAGGATAGTCGGGCAGAGTAGGTTGGGCGCTGGGCGCCAGACAGAGACGAGCGACTTTGGATACTGTGTTGGGGTGGCCTACGGGCTTGAACATTGGCTCATTACTTCATTGGTATTGCTCTATATGGATGGTTTCTCGGTGCATTTTGTACTCTCTGCTTGGATACGACTACCTGGACATCTGTGTGATTTCGCAACTTGGTTTTCTGTATATCGTTCGC